GGATTGTTTCACCTCCCACCAGTATTGATGCCAACAGAACAGAAATATTGCCAACAAAGACGGCAACAGTACCACTCAATAATGTCACCAACCTAACAACAACAACTGCCACTGGTCTGACTACACCAAACACCACTCAGATTGTCACACAGTCTGTCAGCACTGAGCTAAAAAGTACAAGGACAGAGATGTCAGCACCAACACCAACACAGCCACCCTTAAATGTTACAACATCAGCAACATCAAATGTCACTGGAATTGCTTCACCTAATCACACTAGGATTGTTTCACCTCCCACTGGTATTGACACCAACAGAACAGAAATATTGGCAACAAAGACACCAACACCACCACTTATTAATGTCACCAACCTAACAACAACAACTGCCACTGGTCTGACTACACCAAACACCACTCAGATTGTCACACAGTCTGTCAGCACTGAGCTAAAAAGTACAAGGACAGAGATGTCAGCACCAACACCAACACAGCCACCCTTAAATGTTACAACATCAGCAACATCAAATGTCACTGGAATTACTACACCTAATCACACTAGGATTGTTTCACCTCCCACTGGTATTGACACCAACAGAACAGAAATATTGGCAACAAAGACACCAACACCACCACTCAATAATGTCACCAACCTAACAACAACAACAGCCACTGGACTGACTACATCAAACACCACTCAGATTGTCACACAGTCTGTCAGCACTGAGCTAAAAAGTACATGGACAGATATGTCAACACTGAAACCAACACAGCCACCGTTAAATGTTACTACATTAGTACCATCGACTGTCACAGAAGTTGGTTCACGCCCAATAACTACTGAGCTAAAAAGTAACAATACAGAAATGCAAACTATGACACTGACACCTGTATCTAAAAATGTAACCACGCCAGTACCATTTACTATCTCTGAATCAACTACATTAAACACCACTCAGCCTAATAAGACAAGAACAGAAATACCAATATTGACGTCAAAACCACCTACCCACAATGTTACCAACTCAACACCAGTAACTTCCACTGGACTGACTTCTGTTAACACATCTGAGGTGGTTCCACATCCCAACAGCACTGAGCCTAACAATGCAACTGCAGAAATACCCACAATGACATCAACACCACCATCACAAAATGTTAGTTACCCAGCACCAACCAATGCCACTGCAAGTACAACTCTTAACACCACAGAGGTTTTTTCCTCTCCATTAACTACTGAACTCAATATTACAAATACAGAAATGTCAGCAATGACACCAACATCACCGCCTCACAATTTCACATCATCAGGTCTATTAAATGTCACTGGAATGACTACATCTAACACCACTGAGAATGTTTCACATTCAGTTAGCAGTTATCTTAATACTACAGAAATTCCAACAAAGACATCAACACTACCATTCCAAAATGTTACCACACAAGCGCCATCAGCTGCCACCGGACCATCCACTTTTAACACCACAATGGATGTTTCCCATCCTATAAGCACAGAGCTCAACACCACAGAAATAACACCTACACAGGTTCCCCACAACACTTCTGAGAACGTAACCACAAATAGTGTTTATACATCAAGAGCTCCAATGGAAACGCCAGCCTCAACAACAACTGCATCAACTATCAGCAGTTTTTATTCAGGTATGCTTCATAAACAAATTGCATTTGGGTTTGCTTTTTTTTCTAAATTTAATTCCAAATTCTGTGTTTTCCAGAAGACAGCCTTATATTAATCCAGAAAAATATGACATGGACTGCAGCTTTGAGCTTCTGCAGGGAACACTACGTCGATCTTGTTCAGATTACCAGTGGAGAAATTCAAGACAAAGTGGCTAAGAAGTTGAAAAGCTCCACATCGACTCACGTGTGGCTCGGCTTGCGTTACACTTGTAATTTCAAATTTTGGTTCTGGACCAGCTCAAATGCTGACTGTTATCAGAACTGGCAGCCAGAAGAAGGACCAGGAGGGGCTTATGAGTGTGGTGTGAGTGGTGCCATTCAGACCACTGGGGGGCAGCAATGGGTTGGTTTGCCAGAGACACAGGAACTGAATTTTATCTGCCAGACATGTGGTGGATGAGAGTGGGCTGCAAGTAACAGTTGTTTAACAGTTGAAATACTCAGTGATGCTCATTCTGTTTTAACTGAGTATTTTCAGTTAACTTGAGTGAGGGTTATGAGATATAAATTGCCAAACTGGCTAATGTCTCTGAACCAAATGAGATACAGTACAGTGGTTGCAATTGTGCTGACATGTCCTAAGGTGAAATATAGCTGCCTCTGCTGCTGTTCAGGCACAATATTAGCTGCTTGAGAACATACTATATGCTGTATGGATGTGCGCACGCACAGAGAGCTTTGTCAGAAAATTGATTGGCTCTGAAAATTTGAATTTTGACCTCCTGGCTAAGCTGCCAAGAGTCTATGTTTGATAGCAATACAGCCTTAAATCCAACAGCATGGCCCTCAGGAGTGCTTCTGGAGAAAACCAAGCAAGCCCAATAGCTTTCTGTGTGGCAAAGAGTCACACAGAGCGTGACACAGAGCTATGGTTACAGAAAATAATCTAGTTTTAGTACTTTTTTGGTCAGTGATCTTTATCACAGACCTATGCTTTCATTGGAGAATTTATCTAACTTTGTTAATGTTCATAGATACATATTTTGTATTATGTGAATTATAGTTTTAATAACATCACAAACATTCTTGGGTTTCTTTTTTTTAGAATGCAAATGACAGATAATTAACATACCAGTAAAACCTGTCTTAAATTGAAGGCTCACATGTGCCGAAGAGGATCAAAGAGATAACACAAGGTGTGGTATGAAAGACTATGACGTTGCTCACTCTGTACTTGGTACTATTGGTACTATGAGCTATTATAACTTCTAAGCAATTTGAAATCCTGGTTAAGTGGTCACATAATGTTCCCTGCAAAACTATGCATGCCTCTTTGATTTACATTTTGTCACTTTGCAAGTAAATACATTTTGGAATTTTGTTGTAAAACAATGCAAACAATAATTTTAGAATATGAAATTTTTTTCTAAATATAAAAGTATAAAGTCTAAAAAGTTTGGTTTGCTTTTTTCTCATACTTTTTCACTCTCATATTCTGGAGTAAAATCCCGTTCAAACAACTGGTTTCTGACATCTTCTGATATATAAAGTATAATTAATAAAAAGGGTAATCGTTGTGTAATTAGTTTTTTGGTAAACAATTCTCCTCCATGAAGATTTCAGAGCTTTGTTGAAGAACATTAGTGAACATACAGCATCTTTAAGACCAATGAACACAGAACATATGTTGGGGATAGCTAAAATTTAATGTAGGATCAATCCAAGGGTTGAACTTCTTACAGAGGACATTTAAATCTACTTTTCTGTTAAACTTGTTTGGTTGTTATAGATAAACTGTGTACCATCTGATCTTTATCTTTTTATTTAACTGCTGCCGTGACACTGCCAATAACAACATTCTGTATGCTGTTTTAAATTGTGTCACAGAGCAGAAACCTCATTCTTTTTATTTCATTTCTTCTACAGACTCACGTGACTGTCATTTAAAATAAATTTATTCTTAGCTTAGCTTTTAACAGTCCAGTTATACTTAAGCACATGTCCAGAAAAGAGCTACTATGAAGTACAATTCAGTTCAATTAAAAAACATAATTAATTCCCAAAGGGAAATTAAAATTTGTAATAAGTCATGATTTTTCATCTTGTTTTAGGATATTCTATAGCTGTTTCTCTTGTAGCAGATCAATAGAAGCCTTTGATTGATCACACTATGTTGTTGTTTAGCACTCATCTGAAAATTATGTGAACGGTTGTCATGTTCTTCATTTTATGATTAATTCTTGTTTGTCAAAAATCTCTCTAGTGGAGTTACTACAACCTTCATTATTATGCTGAGCTTATTTAAGTAATTTACTCTAAAGCTGTACCCAGCATATGGTGGATATAAGTTATACAGCATCTTGCTGCAAATACTGAGGAACTAAAGCTTCCTTTAAAAATACAGTCTGCTCTATCCCTTCTTGTAGACCAATGTTTCCCAACCTTGTTTAAACTGTGTACCCCTTTAGGCATTGTTTCTTTCCATGAGTACCCCGCCCTCTCAGTCAAAATTATTTATGATTGTGCAAAAGTTGAAAGTACAATAACTGATAAAATTTTTTAAATTAAGAATTCAATTACTGGACCTACTATTCTTTCCATCTCAAATAAAAAAAAAAAAAACCTAAATATGTTTCCTGGAAGTTATTAAGGAATCAGAATAAATACAAATACAAAATAAAATCATATTATAAATCCATATTTACAAAACTGGAGCTCCTCTGAGTTCCCAATGATATGATTAATTGCTCCTCTGAGTTCCCAATTATATGATTAATTGCTCCTCTGAGTTCCCAATTATATGACGAATTGGGAACAAAATATGGGAAAAAAAATATATATTCAGACTGGCTTTATTCATTTTATTTATTTTCTTATCAAGACAACGGAGCTGCTTTGATGAGCTCCTTTGTCTCATGTGTGAAAAACAGCTGATACCAGGCTGTTCTCTACTTCCAGTCTGTTCCTCTGCTTAGTTTAGTGTGTCACAGTGAAGGATGTACTAAAAGAAAACTTACCTTTTGGTTGATAAAATCTTGTTTCATTTTTCAATTGGGTCCTCATAAACAAATAATAATAAAAAAATTAAATCCCTAATTTATTTTACTACCTAAGAAATGCACTCCTTGACCACCAGGAGTACAAATAACCCCTGTTGGGAATCACTGTTGTAGATGACTTAATAGTTGCAGCTCCAGGCGAAGTCCCTTGTTTTGTTCACATTAAGGATGGTTGTTTTCACACCATGCTATAAATTAGTTCAACAGCTCCCTGTACTAAAGTTTTTGTCCATATTCGATACACCCAATGACTGCAGTTATCTGAGTTTTTTGCAACTGACAAGAAGTGTACACAACATAAAAATGAATGGTTAGTTAATCTGTCCATTCAGACCGACTAACACAAAGTAAGTTAGTCTGGTAAAACTCAAGATTCTTCTGTCTGAAACAGAACAGACCAATTACAGAATGGGAGGCGAGCCCATTATATTTAGTGATGTTCTGTAACCATAACATTCAAGATTACATCTGCATGGAGTAACGTTTTAATAATTCCATTTATTATTTCTCAAAAAGAGCTGCGCATAAATTTCGACAACTGCTTACAAGTTATACACTTTCAATCTGACAGACTGTGGTCTGTTTATCATGTAGTCTAAGATCATGGTGAATGATGCATTTCCTCTCATTTTAGCATAATTTTTGTTTTCATTGTTTTGTGTAAATCTATCTTTTGCACAAAGTCTCAGGAAGTCAATTTTAAATGAACTACTAGGAGCACTGCTTCCTCCACTAACCTTCATCCTTACTGCCAGAAATATTTGAATTTTATATCAGCTGCTGACACACTTTCACTTTGGCTTAAGTGTCCTTACCGAAATACTTTTATTTGGATAGAGCTCTTGACTGAATGGTGAGGAGGTAATTCAGCCAAACAGTAGGATGGTGTGCTGGACCAGGGACACATCTAAAAGTTGTCGGACCTTTAGGAGATTGACACCCCTGCAGGTTGAGCACTAAAATCAAATCAAATCTAACTTGTAGTGTCCTTGAAAGGGTAATCTAGTTCGTTTCATTTATATTATATAAATGTTTTAATGATAATTATTTTATTAATCCTAAAGAGAAATAAAATCTATTGTAACTCTTTGCAATTTCTTTGCATAGAAGACATAAATTGAATGAAACCACAAGCAGTTTCTTCAACAAATTTTTATATCAGACATCTGGCATCACCTAGTGTTCAAACTGACTTGTTTCAGCTTATATAAAATTATTTTATAAATTCATCTACAAGGATCATATTGCTCTATTATTATATCTTTAATCCAATTTATTTTGAAGTTTCAGACAATTTGAACTAGGATTGCAAACTTTCATTCATATAAATAAGGAATACGCAGGGGGTGGGGAGAAGTGGTATGTCACACATAAAACTTAAAATACTTAATTTCAAATAAACAATTTATAGGAAAACATTACAATTACATCTACAGTTGTGCTTGAAAGTTTACATACTCAACTACAATCTGAAAAAAAATCAGTCGGCAGTTTAATAAATTGAAATTGAAAAGGTAATAATAAATACAAATGATAAAATTGAAATCATGACATTGATTTTGAATATATATACATACATATCCTTATATCAATAGGAAAAGTAGTAAACAAGCCTGTTTGAGCTCCTGAACTAAAACTTAGTTGAGCCACAATTTTTTTTCAATCACTGAAATCAGGTGTTTTCTGTAATGTTTAGGAAACGTTCAGTAAGACTTCTGCACCTTTTGACAGGTATGTTGGCTCACTGTTCATCAGCAAGATACTTTTTTCTGGGACAGCTTGTGTTTAAGAATTATTTTACTAAACAAAAAATCTAAATAAATATTTTATTTTACTAAATTATTATTTTGTATTTTTATAATTATTTTTTTTAACTTTTTTGTTATTTGAATTACTAGTGTGAATTAATAATTTTCTCTCATGGGAAGGTATATAAACCTTCAAACACAACTGTATCCGTTTTTCAACAGAGGAAATGAATAAAGTACCAAATGCACACAACTTAGTTATTGCAAAATTCAAAACTATAAAACTATGATCTGCTAACTAGCAGTAGCACTAGCACATGAACATGGTCTATTTGTGTGGCGTGTGCAATAAAAAATTGTTTTAAATACTAAATATTCAGTATATTTATTGTAGCTCTATGTGAGTTACGTTAAAAACAGAAATATCATCTGCATTCGATGACATCAATGTATTTGTGACCAAGTCTTTTTTTTTCTTTCAAGAAATTATGTCTGTAATATCTACATTTTGACATAAAATATGTAAAAGAATATGAAAGCATTTTAGATGCAGGAAATTTACAGACAAAAGCCCAAATTAACAATATTTGTCTTTTTAATATTATTTATTTACTGTTAGTCTGTTGGCATGATTTCATCTTTAAATGGCCATTTATATATTACTACATTAGCGTAAAGATTATTAACTACACATCCTAAAACGATCAGTTGAAACAAAGTAACCATAATGTTTCTCACCATATCGTCCCCAGTAGGAGACTACGATTTTTTCATCATGCTTGGGACCCTATATTCCTATGTATCTGCATTGTTTCTTTTTTGAGGAATAAACAACCCAATGTGCACCACTTTATAAACTCTTTAACAATTTTTAGATTGTGTTTCTGCTTCAGCAGGAGTGAAAAATTCAGGTCATAGCAGGACTTGGATGCATGCTAAGGAAGGAGGTAACTTGGCCATTTGATTCACATTTGTGAAAATAAGGGCATATTTAAAAGGTGCATGACACCAGACCTTAAGTACAGAAATTGAAGATCCTTGCTATATGACATCATCAGCATTTTTTGGGTCTTGAGAGCTGGATGTCAAAATGGGCGGGATTCTGTTTTGAGTTTCGAACATGTTGTAGATGGTGATAGCGTTAAGTAGTAAAGATCCCTGTTTTCGTCTCTCATACAGCAGTTCTAAGGAAGCCTCTGATTCAGGTCAAATTGTTCTAGTGCAAGATTCTAATGAAGAGGATGGTCAGGACTGTCTGTAATTTTCCTTGTTTTATAAAAATTTCTTCTTTATAAAATTAACTTCAGAGTTTCTGGATAAGTTCCCGGAAGAACTTTTTACAAGCCTTTTTACTCTGATGCTGCTATCCCTACAGATGATTGCAGATGAAATCATATCCTTCACACCCGACTTGCTACAAATATGCAGCCTATTTTCCCATGTACAGAAGGACCTAAACTTTCTCAAGTGTAGTTTAATAATAAATAATTGAACTTTATTGATCTCACACTGGAGAAATTTACCTCTCCTTTAACCCATCACCTTGGGGAGCAGTGGGCTGCCATTGTGGGGTGCAACTAGGAGTTAAGGGTCTTGCTCAGAGAGACAGTGGGTTTCAAACTCACAATTTCAGGATTCTCTATGCCCTAACCACTA